AATGATCCTTCAATACTTCAAACAGCACTGGAAGCTGTAGGGCTGAGATAGGGTTGTCACTCTTTTAGTTACATAGTATGGTAGGGGTGCTAGAGCCACCAGACTAGCAGAAAATTGGGGTTAATTTAGTAAAACTGAAAACACTCACACTCTGGTACACCTGTACATGATAGCCAATCATCTTCTAACTTCAGCTTGTACAATTAAGCTTTGACAATAAAACCTGGAAGCTGATTGGTTTCTGTGCAGAGCTGTGCCATATTTTGCACTCTCCAGGTTTAGTAAATCAACCCCATTGTGTTTAGTTATTTACCTGGAGTTTAACATGAGACATCTGTCTCAAACCTAAAAATTTAGTCTGATAGGAAAAAACAAATGCTCAAGCAGAGGATACTTTCAGCAAAACTGTATGTCAGGTTGGTCAGTAGATCCAGAGATGTAGATGGTTACAGTTATGGAAAGCTTGACTTTGCTCTCTCCTCTCAAACTTTCCTATTGGTCCTTTTAATGTGAAGGCCAGCATCTTTGGCCAATAGGAAAGCTCAGGTGAAAAGTGTGGGGCCAAGCTTGATTTTCGCAGAAGTTATTGGAATGATTTGGAGGACACCCCTCCAAATCATTGGATTCAGGTGTTCCAATCATCTCCATGGCCACAGGTGTATACAGGCATTTGTGAAAGAATGGGTTGCTCTCAGGAGCTCAGTGAATTCAAGAGTGGTACCGTGATAGGTTGTCACCTGTGCAGTAAGTCCATCCGTGACATTTCCTTGCTACTAAATATTTCACAGTCAACTGTTAGTGGTATTATAACAAAGTGGAAGCAACTGGGAACAACAGCAACTCAGCCATGAAGTGGTAGGCCACGTAAATTGATAGAGTGGGGTCAGCACATGCTGAAGCGCACAGTGCACAGAAGTCGCCAACTGTCTGCAGAGTCAATAGCTGAAGACCTCCCAACTTCGTGTGGCCTTTTGATTGGCACAACAGGTGTGTAGAGAGCTTCATGGATTAGGTTTCCATGGCCGAGAAGCTGCATCCAAGCCTTACATCACCAAGTGCAATGCAAAGCGTCGGATGCTGTGGTGTAATGCACGCCACCACTGGACTCTAGAGCAGTGGAGATGTGTTCTCTGGAGTGACGAATCACGCTTCTCTGTCTGGCAATTAGATGGACGTGTCTGGGTTTGGTGGTTGCCAGGAGAACGGTACTTGCCTGACTGCATTGTGCCAAGTGTAAAGTTTGGAGGAGGGGGGATTATGGTTTGGGGTTGTTTTTCAGGGGCTGGGCTTGGCCCCTTAGTTCCAGTGAAGGGAACTCTTAAGGTGTCAGCATACCAAGACATTTTGGACAATTTCATGCTCCCAACTTTGTGGGAACAGTTTGGGGTTGTCCACTTCCTGTTCCAACATGACTGTGCACCAGTGCAAAAAGCAAGGTCTATAAAGACATGGATGAGCGAGTTTGGGGTGGAGGAACTTGACTGGCCTGCACAGAGTCCTGACTTCAGCCCGATAGAACACCTTTGGGATGAATTAGAGCGTAGACTGTGAGCCAGGCATTCTTGTCCAACATCAGTGCCTGACCTCACAAATGTACTTCTGGAAGAATGGTCAAACATTCCCATAGACACACTCCTAAACCTTGTGGACAGCCTTCCCAGAAGAGTTGAAGCTGTTATAGCTGCAAAGGGCGGGCCAACTCAATATTGAACCCTATGGACTAAGACTGGGATGCCATTAAAGTTCATGTGCGTGTAAAGGCAGGTGTCCCAATGCTTTTGGCAATATAGTGCTGCTCTCAAATCAAATGCAGCGAGGAGGAAGTGGGGGGCAGGACTAAGTTCCACTGTGCGTGTCTATGGAGCATGGCTCCATAGGCACACAGCTCAAAGCAAGCAGACACCGTGTGTCCCATAGCAAACAGCTTGCTATGGGGACACACAAAGAAGAGGAGGAGCCTAAATCGCAAATCTGGGCCACTCAGCAAGGCCACATATCAGGTGAGTCGAGTTTTTTTGTTTGTTTGTTTGTTTTATTATGAAAACAACAAAGACTTTAGTAATACTTTAACCGCTTCCCGACCACCCTATAGCAGAACTACTGCTACAGGGTGCGCAGGGCTGCGAAAAATCACGTGTATATATACATGATTTAGCATTTCTGGGTAGGGCAGAAGATGTCGATCACTTTAGTTTTTAAATTTTTTTACTGGATATGTTTTATAGCAAACAGTCAAAAATATTGTTTTTCAAAATTGTTGGGTTTTTTTTTTTTGTTTGTTTATAGCACAAAACTAAATGCAGAGGTGATCAAATACCACCAAAAGAAAGCTCTATTTGTGTGGGGGGGGGGGAAAAAGACATAAATTTAAATTTGCGTGCAGTGTTGAATGACGATGCTATTGTCAGTTAAAGTAACCAAGCGACATATCGCAAAAAATGACCTGGTCAGGAAATCCTCAGGAGGGCAAGTGATTAAGCTAGTGAGTACATATAGAGGAAATTAATTTTTTTTAACCAGGTTACATGTACCAATAATACCCACCTATTGTCATCCATTCTGCTGACTTAACATTTTCATAATCCCACTGCAGTGAGCTGCTTTCATGCACATTTCAGCACGGCATCATATTCTATGAATATTTTTGATGGTTAAATAAAAAGATTTTGAAGAATTTAAAATTTTTCATTAAATAGTTTTATTAATTTGGTTATTTGTGTATAAAATAGACATTTAAAAAAGTATATTAAAATACAAGTTTGAATATTAAGAGTACAACTATAAAATAAAAATTCTATTCCCCTTTTTATTCTCATGTTTCGTAGGTCCTGGAGACATGAGGTTGCACTGCTGTGTAGCTGCCTATACTTCAGATTATTCCTTCCTGGGAACAGCCGCACCTTAATCTTCGCATGGCATTTATGGCTTCTCTGGACCCCTCCATGTGGTTCCATGTGCCATTCAGGGTGGATGACCAATTGCAGTAGGAGTGTGAAAGCCACTGGCCTGGTAAGTGCAATATCACGTGTGATAAAGAAGGGAGAAAATGCTAGCCAAATTCAAGGCTCTGATCTTTGAGTGGGTGAATGAGGGTGCACGGGGGTGCTCATCAAAGTGCGATTTTATCAATTAATGTGAGAACAATGAGATGACTGTCAACAAGAAGAGACTACATTTCTTAGTAGCGAACTGATCACCTGTGTAGACCCATCCTAGGGCCATGTGTAATGGGTGATCACACACCAATGTCCGACACATTAAAGTAAGGCAACCCATTTAGTGGATTCTTTCCCTTGCTGGTTTGTGATAATGCAGAATCTCACCAACAAATGAGTAACATTTTACAGGTAAGCCCAGTGTGGAAGGGGCATAGGAATAAATACGGTGGCCACACATTGATATAATCATTCACTTCATCTAAACTGATCAGCTTAAAAGAAAAAAAAGCTGAAATGAAAGACCATCTATTCTTTCGTTTTTGTGAGCTCTTGATCATTGTGGCCAAGTCTTGACTGGAGCAAAATTTTGTCAATCGCTAGAATAAATGTTTGCCTGTGTGTTGGAGAACCAGTCATAATACAGACCAGTGAAGTGATCCTTTTTTTATTAGATTGTTTACAATAATGTTTCTTCAGTATTATGTTAATTAATGAAGAATAGTTTGCCACCATTAGCCAACTGTTGCTGGATACAAGATCACACATGACATGGCCCTTGGGCATCCTAGGCCATGTATATAAATGCCTAGATGTAGTTGTGTAAATAATCTTCTAATTACTAGTTTTGGGGGGTTTCAGGTGTTAACTGGGTATGGAAAGCAACAATGAACTGACTACAATTTCCATTCAACAGTTGTGGGCTAGTGCATGGCCACTTATGGAGAAGAGATGGTGTCCTGGCCGTCACATGTACCCAGGAAGGTGTATCCCTTGTGTATGAGGATCCTCCCAAAAGTAAGCTTTGACCCAAAGTATACTGATCATACGACTATCTGAATGAAGACCAGATCATTATATTCCATCCCTGTATCCCACCCCGTCCATAGACATCTCTGCACTAATGTTTTCCATCAGCCTTAACTTGTTAGAGTGTTCAAAATCTAAAACATTAGTAAACTGTAATGTATTTTATCCTGTGGCATTAGAAACGTTAGTGTATTTATCATGTTTAGGCACTATAGTTTCTATACTTGGCAAAAATTAACTCCTTACAAACCTCTGACTTTAAGTTCCTAAGCTGTACTAGACAGAAGGCTAGGTTTGCTACATTTTACACTATCCTTCAGCTAGAGTTTAGGCCCTGTCTATGCTGTCTGGCAGAGGAGTCTGGATCATAGGACATGCCAAATAGTATTGGAGTTCATTCACACGTGCAGCTAGGGGGTCAGTAAAACTAGGAGATTGAGCTGCAGTTTTACTACACATCTGAACAAGAGCCAATCAGGGCTGTACACACAAATTAAACCAATGTCATATTCGATGAGCATTACCGCCTCCAAATGCGACCCATGTAAGTCTATGGAGCCACACTGTAACCAAATGCAATGCACGCTATAGCCGCGCTGCATTTACCATGTTAAATCAGGCAGTGAGGAGGCAACATATCATCTCTTAAATGCCAGCAAGGGCTGCCGCGCATGTAAATGAACCCTTACAAACAATTTGGAGGCATGTATGTATGGCAGTTGGCTTTACCAAGGCCAACTGCCAGTTACAACTCAGGTAACATTCACATTTCTTCACCCTAGATTTTATATACACCGCCCTGGGTGCCTGAGTGTTCTCAGCTCACAGTCTTACCCATCATACACTGGGCTCTATTTAACTAAGAAGAGTGTCACAGACAAAGGTCTTCTATAAAAATAGAATGTAGTGCATATCTGCCTTGGGTGATCAGTTTATTGTCTCTTTAATCAGAATCTCCTTTAGGGTAGGAGCGTGGCTTGTACTGTGTCCGGCCTCCTTCAGCTTCAGCAGGGCAGCCTCAGAGGCCCTTTTGTCTCTCCCCACTCTCCAAGACAACTGGATGTGGGCCTGGAGGAACGCAATAAGGAAAGTCATGTTTTGCTCTTGTGAATCCTGTTGAAGAGCTACTGCCTGTTCACTGTATGCCTGTGCATCAGCCAGTGCATCCAGCTCCTGGTGGCACACCACCAGCCCAGCGAGCACAGTCAGTCGGTGGGTAGACGCCCACGTTGGACAAAGCTTTTCATGGAGGCGCCAACAATTTGTCCATTTCGGGAGTGCTAGATTATATAATCCTGTACATGTAAATTGCTGGGCCTTCTGCATGTCACTCAAGTAGAAGAATCCCAGGAACTGTGGAGAGTATCGTAGAGTGGGTAGGGAAGACACGTGGCAGAGGAACTGCTCAAAGGCACGGCTGCGTTTTGCAATGGTTTCCGCTGTGAAGTTCTTATGCAGACGCTTACGAGGAAAAGACACATTGTTCATTTCTTCAGGATAACGAGAGCGCAAGCTTTTCCTCAGCCGCTCCAGATCCGAGTATCGACAGGTGATAAAGGCAGGTGAAGGATCATATTGTCCCGAGTGTACAAGGTAAATGGTGTACATCTGAAAGGGGAAATAGGAAGGGGGTAGATTAGAGTGGCATTTGTAATTCTATACTGTATAGAGTAGGCGTTCTCAAAATTTTTAACACAGGGAAACCCCTAAAAAGTAGCTTTCAGGCAGTGCAGGGCACCTGATATTTCTCTGCTGCAGTTTCTCTTTCACTTACAGATCTACCTACCTGTGACTGGATAGTAAAAAGAAAAACTGCATACTGATGAGCTCATATCTGTCATTCTGCATGGTTTTTTGTACTGCAGCAAACTGATTGGCTTCTTCAAGACTCTAATGCTCTGCTGTACAGGAACTGCAAGAGGTAGGTCTCAAGTCACATGCAGGTATTTGGGCTGTTGGCATTTAAGGATTACAGAGTTGCATTCATTTGTGCCTTTTTTTAATCTGAAGTAAAGCTTCAAAGGAAACCGTGCTGACTTTTGTTTATGAAAATTCTCTGTCTGGCTTTCACAATGACATTATTGCTTTTGTATTGGAGTCACAAATCCGGAACTAACAAAATAAGCACTTACAAAATCGACTTCAACTTCTTCTGGTCTGTGTACTTGTTCCAGGACAGTGACAGTTTTGTAGCCAGTGGTTTAACCAGGCAATTACAATTACAGTCAGGTTTTCATTGCCATCTGTGTCCTTAAAGTGGATCTAAAGGCAGAAGGTTATCTATCCTAATGCATTCTATGATTTAAAAGGTAAAAAAATCTTCTAGGTGGAGTTTCCCCTTATACTTACCTAAGCCCATCTCAATCCAGCAATGTGCATGAGATATGTAGCTCTCCTGGGTCTCTCTTTCCTCATTGGCTCACGTAGCTGTGGGAGCCATTGGTTCCTGCTGCTGTCAATCACAGCAAGTGAGCCAATAAGGAGATAGGGGGGGGGGGGGGTGAACCATACCATATGTGTGTGCATGGACAATCTATTCACAGGAGTGTGGCGAGCGAGCCTGCTCCAGTGCCACATAGCAAAAGGCTTGCTATTGGGGGAACTTGGCTGGGGGGGCCAGGACCGTTGGTGGTAGACCCAAAAAGAACAGGTAAGTATACCGTGTTTTTTTGCAATTTGAAGAAAAAAAAACAAACAACAATCTTTGAAATCACTTTAAGGGGAGAATTCCCTCAACTTCCAATGCCTGTTTAATTGGGAGAGAAATTTGAGAGAGAAAAAAAAAAAAAAAGAAAAAAGCCTTTTACTGTAGGGAAGTTGTAGATGCTCTATCATGTAAAGAGCTACAACAACCGGTGGAGTAATACTTTATTCAACTTATAGGAATTATAAATCTTATTGCAACCATAACAAGCCCTTGTTTCGCGCACACACAAAACATTTCCTGGTGGTATCGGGAGAAGATGAATGCCAATGTATAAGTGAGTGACCTGGATTTCAAATTGATTGATAAGTCCAGATGCTGGATGAACAGCAGTGATGTGGCTTGTTCTGGGGGAAGATGAATGCCGACATATATACGTTTTGAAGCCTATACATTTATACTGTGAGAGAGGCAGCTTGGCGAGTCTCCATGGTAAATCTCTGATGACATTTATAATTTGATTTTTAAAGAAAGCAGATATTGTAAAAGTAGGCAGGCGTGAAAGTAAGACTGTCCATTGTAACTATGACTAATGCAGCCAAGACCTGGATTTCACATTGACCGGTAAATCCAGATGTTGGATGAACAGCAGTGATGTTGGCTTGTTCAGGCTAGGATTTAGGTGCATAGAAAACCCGGAGGCTGGGTTCACACTGATGCGATGCGGAATTCGCAGCGTTTTCTGTGCAAATTCCGCACAGCATCAGAATTGCACCCCGTTCACGTGAACCGATGTGGATGTGTATGTTAAGTTAACAACACCCAGAACTCGGTCCGCAAAACACGGTGCGATGTGCAGAATCGGATCACATAGGTGTGAATACCAATGCGATCCGATTCTAGTGTGGACCCAAAAAAGGGTCCTGCACTTTTTTGGTGAGGGTGCGGTGCGATTTGAGCCATACATAATGTATGGCTCCAATTGTATCGCACACAAATCGCATGCGATTGGCACAGGAATGCAGTGCGGTTCATGTGTGAATCACATGCGATGTACCGCACCACATTAGTGTGAACCTAGCATAACAATGAACTTCTTTTTAGGAGCAAATCATTGAAAGGGTTTTGTTATAAAAAAAAACAAAAAACAAAAAAGTTAATCTTGCCAGAAATCTTATGAGCAGATAACGTCCCGTGACATTATCATCAATTGTCATTGTGGTCAGTGCCTTTTCCTGCAGTTGATACTGACACTTCTCTAGTTAATAATCTAAAGATCTTTCATCAACAAAGTTTTAATTTTCCTTGTGGATTACATCATCAAGCAAAGCGTGCAGCGACTCCCCAGGTTATGTAACAAGTTATATAATCCTGACAATGTGCAAAATTTAATATTCATATAGTGGAGTTCATGTAAAATGAAGGGTTCGCATTAATTCCTTTAGACAGTCGGCAAACATGAAAATTTTTGTTAACATAAATTACATGATTTTCATAAATTAGGTTCAATTTACAAGAATAAGGATCTTTAATTTTCAGCTATATGAATGGAAGGGTCTGCTTCTTTGCATTCAGAATGCAAAAGCAGCTTTAAGCATGTTGCTACAATTTACAGGCTAACATTTATTTTTAAGCTCCATGCACACTCCGTTTTTTTTTAGAAGATCAAAAAACACTAGAAATAAAAATGCTGGATGTAAACCACTGATAATACCATTTTTGTGTCAGCTTGTAGTAGCGCGTTAGTAGCAGTTAGGAGCATTAACATTTTATTAGCGGGTTTTATTTTTTTCTTCAGTACATGAAGGAAAAAAAAAAAAAAATGCTCGAAAAATGCTGTTAGTGTTTTAGTAGCATTCAGCGTTTTTTTTTTCTGCTGGGAAAACACGCCCAAAAACATCTTTTACATACACACACATTATATATATATATATATATATATATATATATATATATATATATATATATATATATATATATATACATATACATATATATATACATATATATACACACACACATACATATACACACACACACACACACACACACACACACACACACACACACACACACACACACACACACACACACACACACACACACACTGCTCAGCCCTTCTGAAAAGTAAGATTTTAAATCAAACATCTCAATGAACAGAAGAACAATTTCCCAAATTTTGACAAAACCAAGTTTTAGTTTTATAGAACATTTGTTTAGCTCATTGCATGACAGTAAGGTTAATAATATAACTTAGATTACAAAATCTTCAGTTTTAGTCAAAAGTAGTTGATGCAAAAATGAATACCCCACAACAAAAACGACTACATCTAGTATTTTGTATGACCTCCATGATTTGTAAGGGCAGCACCAAGTCTTCTAGTTATGGAATGAACAAGTTGGTGACATATTGCAACATCTATCGTTTTCCATTCCTCAAGAACAACCTCTTTCAAAGCCTGGATGCTGGATGGAGAGTGATGCTCAGCTTGTCTCTTCAGAATTCCCCATAGGTGTTTGATTGGGTTCAGCTCAGGAGACATACTTGGCCACTGAATCACTTTCATCCTGTTCTTCTTCAGAAATGAAACAGTGGCCTTAAATGTGTGTTTTGGATCAGTGTCATGTTGGAAAAGTGCATGATGACCAAGGGCATGGAGTGATGGTAGCATTTTCTCTTTAAATATAGAGCAGTACACCTGTGAATTCATGATACACTTAACCTCTTCACGTCGAGCGTATGCAAATATGCGGCCTCGGAGGCCTTGACGCCGAGTGGCCGCATATTTGTGTACAATTTGTAAACAAACGTGCTGAGAGCAAGCACCCTGCGCACATGTGTCTGCGTCCCACAGAAAGGTCCTGTTCTCTCCTTGCGATCAGGACCTTTTCTGGAACTTGACTGTCCTGACCTCAACCCAATAGAACACCTTCGGGATGAATTAGAGTGGAGTCTGTGAGCCATGCCTTCTCATGCGACATCAGTGCCTGACCTCACAAATGTACTTCTGGAAGAATGGTCAAACATTCCCATAGACACCCTCCTAAACCTTGTGGACAACCTTCCCAGAAGAGTTGAAGCTGTTATAGCTGCAAAGGGCGGGGCCAACTCAATATTGAACCCTACGGACTAAGACTGGGATGCCATTAAAGTTCATATGTGTGTGTAAAGGCAGGCCGACCAATACTTTTGGCAATATAGTGTATATATAAAATTAAAGGAACACTTTGAAAACCCATCAGATCTCAATGGGGAAAAATATCATGCTGGATATCTATACTGATATGGACTGGGTAATGTGTTAGGAATGTAAGGATGCCCCATCGTTTGATGGAAATTAAAATAAACCTACAGAGTAATGAATTCAGAGACACCCCAAAAATCAAGGACCCACTTCACCAGCATAGGGTCTAACAATGGGTCCAAGGATTTCATCCCGATACCTAATGGCAGTCAGGATGCCATTGTCTAGCCTGTAGAGGTCTGTGCATCCCTCCATGGATATGCCTCCCCAGACCATCACTGACCCACCACAAAAACGGTCATGCTGAACAATGTTACAGGCAGCATAATGTTTTCCACGGCTTCTCCAGACCCTTTCATGTCTGTCACGTGCTCAGGATGAACCTGCTCTCATCTGTGAAAAGCACAGGGCGCCAGTGGCGGACCTGCCAATTAGGGTGTTCATTGGCAAATGCTAAATCGAGCTCTGTGGTGCCAGGCAGTGGGAACAGGACCCACTAGAGGATGTCAGACCCTCAGGCCACCCTCATGAAGTCTGTTTCTGATTGCTTGGTCAGAGACATTCACACCAGTGGCCTGCTGGAGGTCATTTTGTAGGGCTCTGGCAGTGCTCATCCTGTTCCTCCTTGCACAAAGGAGCCGATACAGGTCCTGGAGATGGTTAAGGATACACACACACACACCTCAGCATAAATGAGTGCATCCCAACAGATTTGTCAGAAAACCTTTTTCTTGCCTTTCAGGATCAACATTTTTTATGGGACACTATACTACAAAATACTCCCACAAATGCAGGCTATTGATTGCAAACAAGATTTATTATTTGCACACACAAAAAAGTATTTTCCTAACAAAATTCATTCAAGACCATGTTGCAAAAATGAATACACCCCAATGAAAAAGTCTTAGGAGCAAAGCTAAATTAACAAAACAAAATCCTAATTAACAAGAATTCAACTACAGGTGAGTCTAATTACTCAATAGGTGTCCACAAGAGTTGATTATAAAAGGGCGTTACTTAAAGAAAACCCCTCCCATTTCATGCTGTCAGCAAGAAGAGAAATGTCACAAGGCCTGAGAAAGAAAATATTTTTTTTTACATAAGAAAGGTGAAGGCTGCAAGAAGATCAAGAAAGTTTTACTTATCAGTCAGAATACTGTAGCAAAAGTGACACAGACATTTAACAAAGATGGAAGTGCAACCATCTCACAGAGACATCCAGGCCCTCCACGGAAGTCAACACCTTGTCAGGATTGTCTTCTGATGAGAAGGGTTGAAGAAAATCACTACAAAAGTTCACTGCAGTTAACTAAAGAAGTAGAAAGCCAAACTGGGGCGATTGTTTCCTGTGACACGATTCGGCTTGCACTGCAGAGGAATGGCATGCATGGGTGTTGTCAACGGAGGAAGCCTCTCCTGAAGCCCATGCACAAAAAAGCCTGCTGAAAAAGAAGACTACTGTGACTCTGTACTCTGGAGTGATAAATGTTTTTGGAACTGATGGCTTCAAAACTGCATGGCATTGCAAAGGTGGGGAGTACAAAGAAAACTGCATGGTGCCTACAGTGAAGCATGGTGGCTGCAGTATCCTTCTGTGGGGCTGCATGAGTGCTGCTGGTGTCGGTGAGCTGCATTTCATTGATGGTATTGTGAATTCACAGATGTACTGTTCTATATTGAAAGAGAAGATGCTACCATCACTCCTTGGTTGTCGTGCACTTTTCAAACATGACAATGATCCAAAACACTCATCTAAGGCCACTGTTGCATTTCTGAAGAAGAACAGGATGAAAGTGATTCAGTGGCCAAGCATGTCCCTGATCCTAACCCAGTCGAACACCTATGGGGAATTCTGAAGAGACAAGTTGAGCATCACTCTCCATCCAGCATCCAGGCTCTAAAAGAGGTCGTTCTTGATGAATGGAAAAAAAATATTGATGTTGCAATATGTCTCCAACTTGTTCATTCATTGTGCTGTCCTTACAAATCATTGAGGTCATAAAAAATACTAGATGTAGTAATTTTTGTTGTGGGGTGTATATATTTTTGCATCAACTAATTTGAGTAAAACTGAAGATTTTGTAATCTAAGTTTTATTATTAAATAATATTAAATATTTATTATTACTGTCATGCAATGACCTAAACCAGTGTTTCTCAACCTTTTTTCAGTCAAGGCACTCTTTAAAAATTATGGACAGTCTTGAGGCACCCCATTCTAAAATAGGGTGCCTCAAGACTGTCCATAATTTTAACAGGCCACCCCATTCTAAAGTGTGAAAAAACTATTCTAATAGTTTTTTATAATGCAGCAAAATCTACACATGTAGGACACCCAACAATAGAGGTGATTTATTACCTAAAAAGGCAGGCTTGTCCACCTGCTGGCTTGTATACAAGTTTTGGGTAATGTTTAGACATTTTACCAAGGCACCACCTCAGGTTGGGCACCCTGGTTGAGAAAAAGGCTGACCTAAAACAAATGTTCTATAAAACTCAGTTTTGTCAACATTTTGGAAATTGTTCTTGCATTCATTGAGATATTGATTAACTGCTAGTCTACAGGGCATTTATACCGCCCTGCCTGCCCAGGCCAATTTCCAGCTCTCAGTGCTGTCACACTTTGAATGACAATTGCGCAGTCATGCAACACTGTAACCCATATGAAATTTTTGTATTTTTTTTTGTGACAGATAGAGCTTTATTTTGATGGTATTTATTCACCTCTGGGTTTTTTTTTTTTTCTTAAACAAACCAAAAACCACAGAAAATTAAAAAAAAAAAAACATTTTTTCTTAGTTTTTGTTAGAACATTTTGTAAATAAGTGATTTTTCTCCTTCACTGATGTGCGCTAATGAGGCTGCAGTGATGGGCACTGATAGGCTGCACTGATGGACACTGATAGGTGCCACTGGTAGGTGGCACTAATGGGCATTGACAGGCATCACTGATGGGCACTGAAAGGCAGCACTGATAGGCGGCACTGATGCACACTGATAGGTGGCATTGATAGGTGGCACTGATTGGCACTGATGGGTGAAACTGAAAGGCAGCTCAGATGGGCACTGATATGTGGCATTGATATGCACTGGTAGGCACTGATATGTGGCATTGATGTGGCACTGATGGACATTGACACGTGGCACTGTTCAGCACTGACAGCTGGCACTAATGGACACTGACAGGTGGCACTTCTGGGGCCACACTGATCATCAGTGCCCTGATCATCAGTGTACATGTCCCCTCCACGGAATGCCAGTTTCTGGCTCTCCTCTCCTCTCGAGCGGTCAGCGTGACAACTCGGGAGGAGAGAAATGCAGATAACCGGCATTTCCCTGTTTACATGTGATCAGCTGTGATTGGAACCAGCTGATCACATGATCGAGCCGACGTCTTCGGTCTTTCCCGTGGATCGGTGATTCGCTGTGTCCGAGGGACACAGCGCACCGCCGATCGCCGCGCGCTCCCGGAGCCGCTCATGCATGGTTAAAATGGGAGGATGTCATATGATGTCCTCCCAGAAAGAGAGAACCACCTTGTGCCCGTCATTGGACTATATGGCAGGTGGAAGGTGGTTAAAAGCTGAGCACTGTATATATCTATATCAGGAAACATGTCCTTCCTTTACTGTAAAAAGCTGTCTGTGTTACAGGTCACAGACTATTATGTAATTTTAATTAGATCCAGTTTGCTTCCTCAGCAATTGGGTTATAAATTCCCTGGTTGGCACTTGTCTTTCGAGTGCTACAGGTTCAGTGGCTTGTGGTGGGACAGACTCACCGAGGGCTGATGAAGATGCGTGTAAAGAAATACATATTATGGGCAGCACAATGGCTAAATGGTTAGCACTTCTTCCTGGCAGTACTCGGGTCATCGGTTCAAATCCCAACCACGGCACCCCCTGCCTTGAGTTTGCATGTTCTCCCTGTGCCTGCATGGGTTTCCTTCGGGTACTCCAGTTTCCTCCCACACTCCAAAGACATGCTGGTAGGTTAATTGGGTCCTGTCTAAATTGGCCCTAGTATGTGTATGTATGAATGTGAGTTAGGGACCTTAGATTGTACACCCCTTGAGGGTTAGGGACTGATGTGAATGTACAATATATATGTAAAGTGCTGCGTAAATTGACGGCGCTAAATAAGTACCCGAAATAAATAAAATAATGCTATAAATGATTAAACTGCTGCTTTTTTATTTATTTTATGTGAGAAGTAGGGGGTGGAGGCTGTAGGGTACATGTGATGTTGAATTACTAAAGCATGTAAGCCACATTCCTCTACAGATATGCCTAATCCACTACAACTGAGTTTGCATTTTTAGTCAGAGGGCTATTTAGATACGTAGCATTGGAAAGGAGACTGTAGTTGTCAGCAGCCTCTCTACCTCTCTAGACAGCTGTTGATGGAGGAACCTGAGCTATGACCTGCTATACTTCCCAGTCAATGTAAACAGCCTGACGTGGAACTTCCCAGGGTTACATCCCCAGGTTAAGGGCCAGTTCCTGTTAACTGCCAACACCATGTCAAAAGAGTTCTTCAGTGACCAGTAGGGCGTTCTCATTACACTGGAAAATTGCACTTGAGACTTCATCCTAAAAACCATACTAAAACTAGTTTTTAGAGAGACATACGGAGAAAGGTTTTATATAAAAAAAAAGGTAAAAGCAGGCAGCCATCTGCTCTTAGGCAGGACATTTTAAAGTGACTCTGGTTCTAGATGAAAATGTTTTAAACAAAGTGGCCACTGTAAAGAATTAACTTGTCCCACTCCTGATTGTCTCTCTATTGCCTTGTTATTCAGTCATCCCTCCAAAAAGAAATTCATAGTGGATCAATTTTCAGAGGGTCATAGATCTGCGCTTTAGAAGGAGATACTGCCACCTGCCTGGTTTTTTTTTTCTTCCACTTGTAAGGGAATTTTGCATGTAAATACCATGCTGCTATCATCTGGCCAGTGTTAGCAGGGTGGTCCCATAACCAGTAAAATTTGACATGTCGAAATTTGCTATGGTCGTGTCATGTGTATAAATCCCTCCAGCTGCCATGGTGGAAGGCTTTATAGTATAGTACTCACCACATACTTGGCATGTATGTCACGCACAATATTAGCCTCGGTCACCTCGAACGTCAACCTGATGGGCACACTGTGATCTTGAGTATTTGCCCACATCTCTCTCAGTTGTTGTGTCAAAAGAGGACGGGCATTCGGCTCCTCCAGCAATCTACCTTCTGCAAGAAAGAGAATGTTCAGGTACAGTAAATATTTAAAAACACAATTGAAAAACTGTCCTTCACCTCAAATGCACAATCTGCATTAAAACTGAGTGTGGTGGCCATACGTGTCCAATCCACTTTATGTTTCATAAAGATATGTAATGTAAGGACCTATATAAATAATCCACCAAGCTTCTATCAATAAGGCAAGCCCTTGTACTACAGGCTTGCTCCTGGAGACAAACTGTATTATCAGATTGCAATATGTATGATCAGCTTTGCTCAGTAGAAACAGCATGGCAATGGTCTCAATAGCAGGGGTGCTACAAAGAAAAGGGACAGTTCAGGTGAAAAGGCAATTACCTACCAGTAGGAATGCAGCGATAGTTTGGACGCTGAAATGTATTGGACAAAAATAGTGTTATCAGCATTTTGCCGATAGGAAAGAAGGTTACATAGTCAGGCTGAAAAAAGACAAAAGTCCATCCAGTTCAGCCATAATGGCTGCCGAAAATGCCCAAGTTTACCACATTTAGGGCTTTTTCATAAGTCATGTGACTCAAAAAACACATTTCAGGCTTGGTTCACACCACTGCAATTTGTGTTTTGTCCATTTTGCAATGCATTTTGTATTTTTGCATGCATGTCTTTGGTATGTCTTTTGATGTGTTTTTAGAATTATTTTTGTTGCCAACTTGTTGCTGGGCAGATTAAAAATGTAAAAACGCATCAAAAACGCAACACTTGTGAATTTTTTGTATGCGTTTTCAATGCATTTAGGCCAGTTTGTCTGTTTTTTGATGAGTTTTGCATTTTTTTTTATGTTTTTTTTTTAAACCCACCTAGTTGCTGGGCAGATTAAAAACATAAAAACACTTCATGTGTTTTCTGCAGCAGCTCCACTGAAGTCTATTGAGAAAAAAAACACAATGTTTTGCATTTAAAAAAAAGTCCCTGACCCTTTCCAAAAACACAGCAGCTCAAAAAAGCATAGATATGAACGTTTCCCATAGGAAACCATGTTAAATTGACTTTGCTTTTTTTGCAAAAAAGAATGCATTTTTCTTGTGTTTTTTTTTATTTTTTTTTATTTTTTTTATTTAATGCAAAATCACTGCAAACACTGCTCAGCGTGAAAGCAGCCTATTGGCCAAAAGGTGCTTAAAAAATAAATTCATATTCATTTAAATTCATGATATTGATTAAAAAGTCAATTTACAATACAATTTTAAAAAAAATAAAAATGTATTTAGAACTATCCATTTTGGTTTTTGGCCAAATGCATCCTGAATTTTCGGTTTCGGTCCAAGAATTTTCTTTTCGGTGCACCACTACTTACCACTATGCATTTAGATTGTGGAATAAACCAATGCAAAACGAAGGGAAAACATACACATCCCATGTAAACAGTGTGCCCGTGGAGAGTGCTATTGCATTGTAGCTGAAACATGCTTCAACGATTGCCTCCAAGTGTGGTGCCATTCACTATAAATGTCATCCCAACAGTAAGTATTGGCCTAAGGCACCCATACTGCAACACTTGCCTTGCAAATATGGTGGGTTATGGTGAGCTTCATCAAAACTAAAAGGGTCATGTGCATTGTTTGGGGAGTTGGGAGCCCATTTATAACCAACCCTAGTATGTGAATCCAGCCTAAGGCTAGGTTCACACCTATGCAGTTTGTGTTTATGTCGTTTCTGCACTGCAGTTTTTGTACCTGCATTTTGCGTTCCTGACCCTTTCCTAAAAACGCACCGGGTAAAAGCGCAGAAATGTGAACGTGTCCCATAGGAAATCATGTTAAATGGACTGTACTGCATTTCTGGAAAATGCTTAGGTGTGAACCTAGGATAAACGAAATCAGATGTCCTTTATTTGAGCACTTTTTTTGTGTATCTGTAAAAATAGAATCATTAAGATGTTTCTGAACTAAGATTACATATCAACTGACATGTTAAATGTTTCAATCAAAAAACAAACCATAAAAAGAATTGATGGAAAAATTGGGATAGTAGCTCATTGGAGATCACCATTTCCTCCATATTTTAATCTGGTATTACCCCTGGTTCACATATACGTGGCCGTGCTTTGATCGGGCATGAGAGCCCATTCATTTGAATGGGCTCCCGTGCCCTGTGACACGCAGGGAAGAAGTCCCTGCGCTTCTGAAAACGCAGCCCACACGGGAACCTCAGTTCCCAGTATGGTTGCATTTTCCAGTGTGGGCGGCGTGCCATTAGAACTAATGGCACCCGCCCGCGGGTCCCCATTCCTCTGTGCGGGTGGTGCGGCTGCACGGATTTTCATGCGGATCCGCAGCCGCACTACCCGCACAGATGTGCACCTAACCTTAAAGGAACCCTGGTATCAGCTTCCACTGCGGACAAATTCCTGGGTGTCAGCGAATTTCTTGCTTCAATACCTGAAGTCGCTTATCCACAACAAAGTATGCAGATAAAGGCATCTGACTTCCCGGATCTACATACTTGTTCCAGGAGCAGTCGCTTCATTCAACTGACATTAATTGAGGCAACTAACAGTTTTAGAAGGAGGCTGGCAATGGCAGCCCTCAGATTTCTCATTTGACAGGTTTACTTTAACATTTATCTCCAATTTTTTTTTTTAGGTTTTGCATAGAGTGCAGAAGAGTTAGATCTTCTTTCAGGTTTTATGGTTCCCTCACATCAGGAGGATTTATTTCACCTCACTTACTTTCGTTCTCTACCCATTGACACTTCTGTTGCAAAGAAAGGAAGTTGGGAAAAGTCACCTATGGTGGCACAAGAGGAATAAACAGTTGACAGTGGTTCTAGCTTCCCCCCAGTCTATTAAAAACTGTAGCTGTGACGTTGGAATTCCCCAGTTGAACACAATGCAGAAAGAAGAAAAATTATTTATTTATTTTTTTTAAAACAAAAATCCAGTTTAGTCACCGGTCACACCATTGCCATTTAAAAATCAAGCAATTTGTATGCAGTTTCAGTGCGATTTCTGAAGACTTTATTGCTACTTGTGAAGATTTCAACGATTTCTTGCAATTGGCAGTGCAATTTCCAATGTATTCTATGTATGTGAAATTGCAACAAAACTGCAAATAAAGTAATGCAAGAACTACTTCAGCAAAATCGCACATGGGTAAAACACAGACTCACTAGGTGCGATTTCAATTCGCAAATCGCACCAGTATGATCAGGCACCTAATAAACAAAAATCCACAGAGGCCCTAAAATGGGGAGCTTGATATGCATTTTTAATGTTTTGCACGGTTAATACAAGCTGAAGCTCCACCATCACAGCACCAACTAAATGATTTATTGTATCTAATGAGATTTTTTTTTTTTTATTATTTGATATGACAGTTTCTTGCCCAGTAGTTCAGTACCTGTTCCATCGCTCTCCTCAGAACCAAGGCTGTCTTCACTCAAACTAAGGGTTCCACTCAGCCGTACTGCCATGTCCGGATCATCCACTAATTCTGCAGTCTCTGGCGGTTCCTCAGGTGGTCCAGGGCCCCTTTGATCTTTAAGTGTGGAAGGACGGAGACGCTTAAGAAACTTGGATGCCATCTAGAATGAGATTTAACATTGTCTAAGCGGATTAAAAGAAGCTGAAGGTCATAAAATAATTTTTTTTTTTTTTTTTAAAGTGGTTGTAAATCCTTACATATACCCAGTGAAGTGATTAGTCTCAGGTGATACACAGATTAAACAAATTCTCCTACATACAGTGTATTCAGAAAGTATTCAGGCCCCCATCGCTTTTTTCAATTTTGGTATGTTGCAGCCAGATATTACAGTTTAAATTCATTGTTTTCCTCATTAATCTACACTCCATGGCCCGTAATGACAAAGCGCAAATAGAATTTTAGAAATGTCTGAACTTACTAAAAGTAAAAAATGGAAATATCACATTGGTATTAGTAGCACCCCCCCCCCCCATCTGAGTCCCTTGACTCCACCCATTACCCACCTCCAAGCACCTTCCCTTAGTTCCACCCCCTACCCACCTCCCAGTACTGCCACTTATATAGAATACAGAGCCAAGTACCATTTCAAGTGATAATTTGTTAAGAAAGGCAGAAATATAGGATCCCCACAGCCAGCAGCATTAGACCCCCCCCCCCCCCCCCCCCAGCAAAAATAGATTCCTCCAGCAAAATACTACCCTAGCAACAATAGACTCCAAGCAGCTACAACAGATCTCCCAGAAGCCAGCAACAATAGACCCCCATCAGCAATAGATCCCCCCCAACAACAATAGACCTCCCCCAGCAACAATAGACCACCACACAAAAATAGACCCCCTTCAGTGACAATACATCCCCCAGCAACAACAGATCCTCCAGCACACCCTAGCATCCCTTGTTATTACATACTTTCAGTGCTGGAGGTGCCGGAACCGCTGAAAAAAAGCCCTGGACACAAGTATTCAGAGCCTTTGCAACAACACTTGAAATTTAGCTCAGGTGTCTCCCATTTCTCTTGATCGTTGATGAGATGTTTCTACCCCTTGATTGCAGTCCACCTGTGGCAAATTTGATTGGACACCATTAGGAAAGGCACCCACCTCTCTATAAATGGCCTCCAAGCTGACAATGTATCAGAAAAAAAAAATCCATGGAGGTCAAAAGGAACTGCCTGCAGAGCTCAGACAGGATTATTGCAAAGCACAGATACAAAAATTTTTGATGCACTGAAGGTTTCCAATAGCACAGTGGCCTCCATAATTCTTAAAGGGTAGAAGTTTTGCACAACCAGGACTCTTCCAAGAGCTGGTCGCCCGGCCAAACTGAGCAATCTGGGGGAGAAGGGTCTTTGTAAGAGAGGTGATCAAGAAACCGATGGTCAGGTGAACAAGAACCCGATGGTCAGGTGAACAAGAACCCGATGGTCAGGTGAACAAGAACCCGACAGTCACTCAGATTGATCTCCAGAGATCCTGTGTGGAGAGGGGACAAAGTTCCAGAAGGACAACCATCACTGCAGCCCTCCACCAATCTGGGCTTTATGGCAGAGTGGCTAGATGGAAGCCTCACATGAAAGCCTGCTTGGAGTTTGCAAAAGCTCCATTTGAGAATTATGGAGGCCACTGTACTGGCGAGTCAGTGGAAGGAACAGAATATCAACACCCCGAGAACTGTCAGCTTCCCAGCAGATTTTGTTGGATGATTCTCCAGCAATAGAGAGGCTTTCATCCATGTGAGAAGCAGAAATAAATTCATGAGCAATTTACAAGCAAAAGGCGGGTAGTTTTTCTTTTTGGTTCAGTCAGCGGCCACTTGTGCAATTGAGGAGAAGCTCTATGTGCATGCTTACACACTACATACCTGTACTTCTGTGATCTGTCTGACACGCCCCCTGCCCAGCTCCGCCTTCTATTTGGGAGCTACAGGACGCTGCATGCGGCTGTACTCCCATTGTCAGATCTCTGCCAACACATGCCATGTCCAGTCAAGTGGCAGTGGCTGGGATATGTGATGTTGACAGGAGCTGCCGATCGTCATCAGTAATCTCTTCCCCCAAGTTATACAGCTCAGAATGCTGGAGGTCATTTGCTCATTTGTAATTGTATGAAAGAAAAAAAAGATTTTTTTTCTTTTTTTAGTCATAAAAGGTTTGCCTTAGATTAGTATTGTATGTTAATTAAATGCTGTAGGATAGACAGGGTTCACATTCACTTTAGATAATTCAAGGAGTCTACTTGGCCCTCCTAGTTCTTAACACAAAAGTGTGCACATGATATTTCTGGGAAAAAAAAAAAAAAAAAAAAAGAAGACAACCCTCCCCCCCCCCAACTGCATAAGGGCTCATTCACACCAAAGCAGCATGTTAAAGTGGTAAAGGGATTTGGGACATGCTACCAGTGCGGCATGGCGTGTTCTGTTTCCTTCTGACAGGGGACACCTATGAAGATCTGGGTGCAGACCTACTGTGGTGTCATACACACATGCCATATTAAGGTAACATATTTTGGGTCCCTACTAGTTTCATCGGCCAATTAGTCTGCCATGTCATTTGGCTTTTCAAATATATGGGAATATCTGGGATTCCGGTTGGACTGAGATTATAGATGTGATCAGGTCACTACTTTACTCCTGCCGGTCAGATATGCAGGCCCACCAGTGTCCTAGCCATTCACTTTCCTTCTTATGTCCTTGCGGAGATAAGCTCGTTCGGTCTGTACCGGAAACCAATAATCTATATATTTTCTGAATTCCTTATATTAAGATTGGACTTTGTGTTCAGGTATGGCTCGCCTCCAGCCCTGGTCCCCTATGTCCGCCCTCCAGACATCTATGCCACTGTCTTACCGTCTCCACTAGCACTACTCTCCCACATATTCAAGTTACGGTCCTGAAGAAGCCAAATGTACAGGCGAAACGCGTTGACTGTATTTTGAAATATATGTATGTTGTCACTATGTGCTGAGTGGTTATCCTTTATTATACATGAAGGGGGTTTGTGCTGAACTTGGTGTGCTTTGTTCTTATCTTCTCTTTTGAAGAGCATCTTTTGTATTATGGGTCCTATTATGGACATATGATTCTTATGTCAATAAATGGCTATAGGTATTTTATTGTGTGGTCTCTTACTGTGCCCAAAGAATCCAATGCTTTACCGTACTTAGCAGTTCGGTCCTTTCTTTTCATGTTAAAGTGTCATTAAATCCAAAATCTAAGCATTAGGACATTCATTCGGTGTATAGTTATAAAAACCTGGTTGATCCTACCATTCACTGATTCTGCCTCCTTACCTGTGTCCCCACGGCAGTCGGAGATCCTGTTTCACCCGTTGCCACCTTTACTGTGCATGCTCTGGTGGAAGTGAACAGGCAAGCTGTTCACTTTGTCCCATTCTAGACAGCCCATGTGATTATACAGTTTTTTTTTTTTGGGGGGGGGGGGGAATACACAGTGCTGAGTGACCCCCTCCCTCTCTCCTCCTCCCACCCTCATCCTCAATGCAGACATGTTCCTAGCCACTAGGGGGCTGGAATAAAACGCACTGTGATCCCTCCTCCTCCATGCCAACATGTTCCTAACCACTGGGAGGCAGAATTACCCGGCACTGCTAGAGGCTCCTCCTACAGATCTATCCCTGTAGAGGGGAACAAGCAGAGAAAGATCATGTGACTTCTACATGGCACAGATAAAACTAGGTTATTTAGCTGCCTTTTTTTTTGTTTTGTTTTTTTTTTTTAAGAAAAGAAAGCATTTATACATTTTTAAAAGGATCAATTGCACTTAAATGATCTGTACTTAAAGTGTTACTAAACCCAGGACCCAGCACTCCACTATCTGGTCTCCCACAGTACACGGAAATGCAATCATTTTAGTAAATATAAACTGCTAAATACCTTTTCTCATCAGCAGTATATAGCAGTTTTGTGACGTCTATCATTGTCCAGCTGAGCACTGGTTAAAGCTTGTAGGAGTTTTCATTCTCCTGTGGCAGGAGGCAGAACCTCTGACCTCTATCTGGAAAGTGTAGATTGGCCCTGTGCTGATCACACGCACTCTCCCAAGGGAAAACAAAAAACTAGCAATACACACCAAAACTGAGCATGTGCAACTTGCCCCTGAGTCTCCTACCTCCTCTTTGGCAGTCCCCTGCCACTGCTGTATCCTCCTTCATCCAGGAGCCCCCTTAGTGAGCCAATGATATGCCATGCCCCTTGCTAAACTCAAATGTCTCCTGTAAGACAAGGGACTGTGAACGTTGCTGGAGACAGGACCGTGCTGCTTGATCAGTGAGAAGTCAGGTAAGTGTTTAGGGACCGGGGAATGGTACTTAGATAGTAGGAAGTGCATTACCTTACTGCAGAGAATGCAGGAAGGCACAAAAATTTGACTTTAGAACCACTTTAATTTGCTTATATTTTTGCATCCTTTGGTTCATCAACATGCTAATAAAAACATTTTTAAAAACCTTTTACAATTTCCATACTATCCTATTGTAGGCCCATTTATATTATCACTGGGTCTCTGCGCTTCTCTAATTAATACAGGCAGATCATGAATGGTAGGAGGGTGTTGTACATTGCTTCTCAAAAACATCACAGTACCCTGCCACATTATTCCTCTCAATAGCCCTGATGGAAGCAGTGGGCTTGTTTTGGGGAGGTGTTAGTAAATATCAAAATATTTTGCTGGGTGGGTCAATCTGGAATGAAGTAGAATAACAGGAGTGGTCAAGGACACTCATCCTTGGGAGGAAAGTTAGGTGATGCTGGATGTCCTACAGCCAGGAAATGAGGCTTTATTTGACTTGCAGCTTCTAAAGCACACACAGTGCTCACAGTGTGCAGTCAAATCAGACTGAGTAATTTCCGTACAGATCAGCCTGTACTACTGTGCAAATCTGTGAGGGTATGGATGGAGGTCAGCTTTAAAGGCTAGGTTCACACTAATGCTGTGCGGCATATCACATGTGATCACCACACCGCAATCCTGTGAAAATCACATGCGATTTGTGTGCAATGCAATTAGAGCCATACATTACGAGGGGGGCCTTGAACCTACGACCATGCACTTACTGGACGGGCACCTTAACCACTATGCTACAGC